GCTTTCACCTTCTTGTTGCATTCGCCCGTTGAATTTGCAGCGTTCGGCAATTACGGAATACTCCGGACTGAAATGGTGTTCTAGCAACTCCCGCACTTGGTCGAAAGTTTTGTCGGTGAGTTTCTGTGTAACTAGGAGTTTCTTGAGCTCCTCGTAAGCCTGACCAACCAGCACGTTAAATAACAACTTCAGCTTTTTCGCCGCGGGTCGTTCGTTAAAGTCAACAAAATGTTTAAACCTCTCGAAGTACGACTTAATGTTGTCGCTCTTTGGGTTGAACTCAGACATGCCTCCTAGGCGTTGCTGAGGATGAGGCGTTGACATAATGTCGGTCGAAACAGTGCACTTATCTGTTCCGTTGATCTTGCCCGCTCCGTCCTCCGTCGTTTCCGTGACGCTTGCTCCTGGCTTCCGCGGTGCTGCGTTGTTACTTTACTCGCCGTTGATTCGAGCTGCCGCCGATGCCGATGCCGCCGTGAAATCCCACCTTCGTCGCCAGTTCTTCTATCGTGGCCGAGATACGGAGACCAGACTCATGTCGGAGCGAATTGAACAAGAAGAACGTTTATTCGTTACGTATTTTCTTTATATAGTCACCGCTATATAGTCACCGTTACCCCGACGTCATGTGGCTGACGTCGGGGTCGCGCGTTCATCAATACATGACACTTCTAGTTTATAGTCTGCCAAGCTCTTCACAACACGATGCTACGCCAACGAGTGAACTTACGTACAGCCTTGGACATCGTTAACTTACGCGGAAATAAAACGGAGTCGTATCTAAAGTAGAATTGCAAACAATGTTCGAGAAAGACCGGTATGCGTGTGGGTGCTTGCGGGCGTATCTTTTTCAAATTACAACCCGCATGCGAATATTTTTGCATAGATAAACGAGACATAAACGAGACCTAAGGTATAACATTTCGACGAAAACCCCGAGACTGGGTCAAAAAGGGACGGACAAACACAAAGTCTCAATTGAGACTTTGTGTTTGTCCGTCCTTTTTTGACGCAGTCTCGGGGTTTTGTCAAAATGTTTAACCACCACCAGCTCGTTTGCGCCCTTACCTTTTGTTCACCTTAGGTAAGTGGTTTTTAAGTACCGATAAGTATATGAGCAATTGATTTCATTTTTGTTTTCTTTAAAGTCCGACCAACAAGCAGAAAGAAAGAAACTTTAAACTTCTCCTTGCCGTTTGAGAAAAGAGAGACTTTCCTCATTTCTGCCGGGAGTAGCTCAGAGACGCGCTTTTATGTAAAAAGGGAATTGAGAGAAGGAAACTGGAAACCGGTTTTATTCCCTGCAGAAGACGATTCTGTAGGTCGGCTTTTAAACTTTATTTAAAAAAGGGAAGCCAGCCATTCATTCTAATATTTCTTTCCACTTCGTGATGCCATAAATAATGGCATTTTTATTGTAACAGCTTGTATCACCCTGTAGCAGCTCATATTACTGCAAGCTGTACCAGTAGCGTGACAATCTTCCAAAATAGCAACATTATCAGAAAGAATGAAGCTGCTTTGACCTAGTTAAGAATAAAGTGAGCCCTTGCTTTACCGAAGTTTTTCTTAATGCATTTTGGAATAGTACAAAGAATAAGTCAATTTGATTGAAGTAACTTGATTAAAATAAACGAGTGTATTATACTTATTTAGATCTAACATCCGTAGAGTATACTTTTGTTTTCAAAGTTAATTTAGAACTCGTTTCTCATCGACTAAATATTATATGTTCTGTGTGCAGAAGAATCTACAACCCGTAGCTTGTTCGAGGACGCGGCGCTCTCCAAGACCCAGAAGCGAAACTGTCGCAGATGTGGTAGAAAGCGGCGGTGGTGAGGAAGCCGGATAGAACAATATGCAGTGTTAGCGGTAACGGCGTAACCGGTAACGCAATACTTTTTTCGGTAACGCGTAACGTACCTACGTTACCTATTGAGAGTAACGGTTAGCCTAGTTACGTTTCCACATACATATTCTTGCAAGCATTTAAAGAAAAATGCACTTACATTTTGTCCCGTCTTTAAGCGCTAAAACGTCTGATTATATTACAGTTGTTTTCAATCTTTGCTTTTTTTATGAGCATTTAGGTGTAACCGTAAACAAATATTGGATTATAATACTTTTCTGGAGAGACGTAATAACATTTGAAATCTGGCGCTTATGAATGCCTGTAACGTCAAAACATTAAAAGCTGCTCATTCGCAGCTCAAAAAGGACGTAAAAGCAACTTCTGTTCCTTTTTATCGGTAATGGTAGCTGTAACTCGTTCCTTTTATTTCGTGGTTTTTGATAGATATAAATGATATAGCTACGCAGATTGAAGAACCAGTAAAACTAAAATGATTGCCTTCTTTACTCTGTGATAAACAATACTAATGAACAATTAGCTCTGAATAGGAACCTGGAAAATATAAGGCAATGGTGTGAGGACTGGCACATGCTAATAAATTTTCGTAAGTCGATATAAATATATATATATATATATATATATATATATATATATATATATATATATATATAACGAACAAAAAAAAGCGTTTTGAAATTTTTTTATAATATAGGCAATGTTAATTTGAATATTGTTAACAGTTTTAAGTACATTGGTGTGGTAATGTCACACGATTTGCAATGGCGGACCCATATAGATAATGTCTACTCCTCTGCCTATCGAAGTCTGTGCTTCCTTAAACGAATGTTAAAACACGCAACTACTAATACCAAAATCACAGCTTATAAGAGAATGATCCATCCTATTTTAGAGTACGCCAGCATTGTATGGAGTCCAAACAAAAAAGTATACATCAATATACCAGAAAAAATTCAAAGGCAGGCTGCACGTTTCATTCGTAATAAATACAAACGAACAGTCTCTGTGACTGAAATGCTTAGCCAGTGTGGACTTCAATCATTAGAAACTAGACATAGAATAGCGCTGCTAAAGTTCTTATTTGCGTTGTATAACAAACACTTAAACATTGAACCTGAACTATATTTAAAAGAGACACATAAACAATCGCGCAGATTAAATCACAATAAAACAATCCAACCGTATAATAGTAGGATAGACGTTTTTAAATATTCATTCTTTGTGCAAACAATTGAAGACTGGAACCAACTCCCAGATTATGTCATTAATTCTGCAAATGTGTCCCAATTCGAGTCTTCTTTAGAAAAGATATTTACCCAGCAATAAGTAAAAAGGGCGTTTTTCCTTTTTTTCTATTTCTCTTCTTCTTACAAAGTGTGGCGATATGTTCACGTTGTCTTCAGTTAAAAATTGTATAACAGTCTTCTTTTATTACGTACATATGTATAGAGTTCAAATTTTTTATATGACTGTATATATATTGTTACCTCTCATGTAATAGCCTTCAAGTGAAGGCTGACACTATTCTTAAATTAAATAAATAAATAAATGGCAATGTAGACCGGCAACGTGTTCATTTTATTTGGAAGTAATCAGTAACCTATTCTGTTCCTTTTATTTTTTTTTTCTAACACCTCCAACACCAGTCCCAAGTCGTTCTTGCGTGTTTTTTTTTTCTTTTTGTGTAAAGAACTTTACACATTTTTTCTTGAAGTAGTCACATTATTTATTTCCGATAAGGAGCTGGATAAAAATACAATACACATATGTTTCTACCAAGCGGAAAAATCCCCAAAATCGCATGACATGCATAATGTCTTCGCGGTCTCTGACAGAAATTTGAATATGTTTCCCTATGTAGCGAAGGACAGTCGTGGCTACTAAGCAATATGACGAGCTGCGTAGCGAGGCCTTGTCGCTTGGAAAAAGAACGAAAATCAGACATCAAGACGCAAAATAATACGTTCTAAATATAAGCCATGTAAATATTGTGTACCAACATTAGTGGATTAAGGAGACATGCAGCTTGTAAGTTTGCGATTCTAATCCAATATCGAACAACACAACAAAAAGTCATTTTGAACTCTGCAGATAAATCCTCCGTTTCAAAAATTTCAAATAATAGACCCTTTCCGAAATTCAGTGCCATCTGGTGGTTTGTAAAGCACTTTAGGTTTTGCCATATCAATGGCGGAAATTAACTTGTATCGGCACCGTCACTTTCGGAAGTCAACGGCACGCGAGGAATTGTTCGGTGTGAGTTCTTTCTCGATCACTTTCAGTTTGATGGTGACCAAGAACCTGCCTTTAGTACAAAGCTTCAACCCATTAGGATGCCTCGAGAAAAATTCTATACACCACAGTGCTTTAAAGGCGATTGTGTGCCGCCCACAAATTGACTGAATCTGAGTTATTAGAAATAAACGCTTACGTAGCTCTTGTGTTCCATTCCCACGTCGCGTCGTACTGACACCCCGAATGTACAGTCCTCGCAAGATCCACTTAGGAGCATGTTCAACGTCTTCCGTTATCAGTCACTAGAAGGCCGCCATTGGTATGGCACAGATGCCGCTCCAGAGATGATGATAGTGATCAAAGTGGCCAGACTGTATATCGGAGAGGGTCTATTGGGAAAGTAATGACTACTTCATCGAGCAGCGTCAAATTACTTTTTTAGAGTAATTAAGTATTCTAATTGAATAATTTTTGAGCCAAAATCAATTGCGATGTTAATCAATATAAGGCTCGCTGGTAGTAGCAAATAAAGACGGTGAGCGCCCTAGAGATACGCTTCTGGTGCCGCTTGATCGACGCAATGAGACTGCTGCCGTGGCAGCGGTATTCCATAACGTAAAATGCATTATAGGAGCTTCGCTTGCACAGTCCCTAAAACGTTTTATTAACGCGTCACACCACCCAACATTCAATCGACAAAAACGATTACACCGGATGTTTCGCAGATGTTCGCCCCCTCTTTGGTTAAGCAGCCGCTTAGAGTGCCATGGTTCTCTTCTCCTCCGTAACCCCCCCCCCCCCCCTCCCCCACACATATACTGTGGGAGTGGCTTTGTGAGACCACGTGACGGGGTCCTGTCCCATTTGGCCGAACGATATATTCCGCCATCACTCGAGACACTGACGTGTTTCTGCCTGTAAAGCCCGCAATCAAGATGCTCTCGATTCGCGCTCGGGTCGCGTTAAATCATCTGCGCTGCGCGACGAAAAAGGCGAAAAAAATTCAAAGCCACAAACGGTAAGTGCAACCGCCTTGGCACATTTACGAGCTTGAATATCAGTCTGAAAAGCGCGTAAAAAAAATTAACTAAATTATGTTGTTGTTTTTTTTTTTAATTCTTGGCAGCCATGCCCAGAATTCAACATTCTGGGCAACCTAAGCCTTCATAATTTCCCGAAGCACAGTGCGTACTAAATATGTCTCCACGTGGACTAGAAGGGACCGATTGAATAAAGATACGTTAAAAAGGTTCTGATGAGAATAAACATCCTGGCATTCGCATTTTTTTATTTAAAATAAGAAAATAGATATTGTAAAAATAATATTTTTTTTCATTCTTTCCAACACTAAAAAATTTTGAAAGGTGATAAAAAAATGGGAAACAGCATGACTGGCACCGAATTTAGCGGTCGTGACTCCGGCACGAAAGGAATTTTTATACAACGGTAACTGAATCTTAGAAAATTTGCAGCGATGACACAATGCGAAGCCAGAGAACCTTAGCTTGAAAGAATCAGCACTCATTGTAGGCAATTTGGTTTTAAGTAAACACTTCTTGTAAGATGCTTTTTGATATATGGCTGGAATCGTCAACGCGCGAGTTCCCAGTAAGAGTAGTCGGCAAAGTATAATCTGTAGTTTAGTAGCCATATTGTGTTCTTTAGAAACATACTTTTAATGTTCCTTTTTGTGTTCTATACTTATGTGTTTTAAGGGTCGGTTTCGCCAAGTTTTCGACGTAGCGTTGTGGTAGATTAGTTTCAATAATATTTTTTTTCACATAAACAATGTTTAAATGAAAAAAAAATATTTCACTAAATTTGGCAGATATATCATTAAGTGGATATTTACTTTTTGACGTACAAATTGTTCTGAGTAGTTTTGTAACATCAATATGTTATACATTAGTATGGGTAGTTGCATTCAATATGGGATTGCAATAATTTAATTGTGTATAAAAAATTTAAATTATATAACATGCACTTTCTTGGCAGTAGTAAGATGTGCTTATGACAATACGGAATACCCGCAAGCTATATTTAATAATTGACTATATTCGTTTCTCATCGTCTATAAGTTCCGAGGCGTCATCACCGTTCAAAAGCATACTCGCTTTACCGGCATAAATAAAATAAAAAGTTGATTCACTAATATTTATTATCTTATTTATATTAGTTGCATAACAAAGGTCCGCAAATACTTAATTGGGGAACCCGTGATTCGATCGGTTTTATTTTGTACGAATGACCACACAGGTACCACTCAGATAAACCCCAATTTGGGCGAAAATGTGGCAAACGTAAGGGCCTAACTTTAGCCCCAGTAGGGCGATACAAGGGCATGCCAAAGTTTGGCTATTCTCTGGTCCGCCACAGTTGTGCCAAAGGAAGTCCAAGACTTGGGCCATAACTGCCAAAGTAAATACACATTTTGGGTTCCGGACAGGCCAAAGTTTGGCATGTCTCTGGGCCGCAACCAAGACTGCCCAAAAACGTGCAACACTTGAGCCTAAGTAACGCCTAATTTGGGGACTTCGGACACGCCAAAGATTGGCTTTTTTCTGGTCCGCCACAGTTGTGCCAGAGGATGTGTGATTTGAGCCAAAACTGCAAAAGTAAACACTAATTTTGGGTTTCCGACATACCAAAGTCTGGATTTTCTCTGGTCCGTCACAGTTGTGCAAAAGGAAGTGCCAGACTTCAGCCATAACGGCCCAAGTAATGCCTAATTTGGGGATTTCGAACACGCCAAAATTTGTGTTTTGTCTGGTCCACCACGTACCAAAGAAAGTGCCAGATTTGAGCCATAACTGCAAAAGTAAATAATCTTTTAGGGTTCCAGACATGCCAAATTTTGGATTTTCTCTGGGCCGTCAAAGGACGGGCGAAAATACATGGAATACTTGAGTCATAACTGCGAAAGTTACGCCTAATTTGGGGATTTTGGACGTGCCAAAATTTGGCTTTTCTCTGGTTGGCCGCTATTATGCCAAAGGAAATGCCAGACTTGAGCCATAACTGCCAAATAAAATACTAATTTTGTGTTTCGGACATGCCAAAGTATGGCTTTTCTCTGGGCCGCCACGTGAGTGTACAAGTTAGTGCCATACTTGAGCCATAACTGAAAACTAAATACTAAGTTTAGGTTTCGGACATGTCAAAGTGTGGCTTTTCTCTGGTCGGCCTGAATTGTGCCAAAGGAAGTGCCAGACTTGAGCCATAACTGCAAAGTAAATACTTTGCAGTTATGGCTGTAAAAACTAATTTTGAGTTCCCGACATCCCAAAGTTTGGCTTTTCGCTGGGCCGCCACAGGGGTGCCAAAATACGTGCAATACTTGAGCCATAACTGTCAAAGGAACGCCTAATTTGGAGATTTCGAGCACGCCAAAGTTTGGCTTTTGTCTCGTCCGCCACAGTTGTGCCCAAGAAATTGCCAGAATTGAGCCATAACTGCAAAAGTAAATACTAAATTTGGGTTCCGGACACGCCAAAGTTTGCTTTTCTCTGGGATGCCACTGGAGTGTCGAAGTTAGTGCTATACTTCAGCCATCACTGCCAAAGTAAATACTAATTTTGGGTTCCGGACATGCCAATGCTTGGCATTCCTATGGGCCGCCACAGGAGTGCAAAAGTTAGTGTCAGACTTGAGCCACAACTGCCAAAGTAATTGCTACTTTCGGGTTTCGGACACGCCGAAGTTTGGCTTTTCTCTGTGCCACCACAGCAGGGCCAAAATAAATGCAACAGTCAGCCGTAACTGGCAAAGCAACACCTAATTTAGGGATTTCGGACACGCCAAAGATTGCCTTTTCTTTGTTCCGCCACAGTTGTGCCAAAGGAAGTACCAGGCTTGAGCCATAGTTGCAAAAGTAAATACTAATTTTTGGGTTCCGGACATGCCAAATTTCGACTTTTCTCTTGGCCGCCACAGGAGTGCCAAAATACGTGCAATACTTGAGCCATAACTGCGAAGGTAAATAGAAACTTTGGGTTCCTGACATGACAAAGTTTGCCTTTTCTCTGGGCCGCTACAGGAGTGCCAAAGTTAGCGCTATATTTGAGCCATAACCGCCAAAGTAAAGAAGAATTCTTGGGTCCCGGAAAAGCCAAATTTTTGCTTTTCTCTGGGCTGCCACAGAGTGCCGATGTTAGTGTCAGACTTGAGTCATTACTGCCAAAGTGGATACTAATTTTCCGTTCCGGACACCCCCACGTTTGGCTTTTCTCTGAGCCACCACAGCAGTGCCAAAATACATGTAAAACTTCAGCCAAAACTGCGAAAGTAACGCCTAATTTAGGGATATCGGACAAGCCTAAGTTTGGCTTTTGTCTAGTCCACCACAGTTGTGCCAAAGGAAGTAACAGGCTTCAGCCATAACTGCAAAAGTAAATACTACTTTTGGGTTCCGGACATGCCAAACTTTGGCTTTCCTCTGGGGCGCCACAGGAGTGCCGAAATACGTGCAATACTCGAGCCATAACAGCCAAAGTAACGTCTAATTTGGGGATTTCAGACACGCCTAATTTTGGCTTTCCTCTGGATCGCCACAGTTGTGCGAAAAGAAGTGCCAGACTTGAGCCATAACTGCCAAAGTAAATACTAATTTTTAGTTCCGGACATGCCAAAGTTTGGCTTTTCTTTGGGCCGCCACAGGAGTGCTGAAATACGTGCAATACATGAGAGAGAGCTGCCAAAGTAATGCCTAATTTGGGGATTTCGAACACGCCAAAGTTTGGCTTTTGTCTAGTCCACCAAAGGATGGACAGACTTGAGCCATAACTGCAAAAGTAAATACTAATTTTGGGTTCCGGACATGCCAAAGTTCGGCTTTTCTCTGCGCCGCCACAGGAGTGCCAAATACGTGCAATACTTGAGCCAGAGCTGCCAAAGTAACGCATAATTTGGGGGTTTCAAACACGCCACCATTCGGCTTTTGTCTGGTCCGCTACAGTTTTGACAAAAGAGGTGCCAGACTTGGGGCTTAGCTGCAAATGTAAATATTAATTTTTGGTTCTGGACATACCAAAGTTTGGCTTTTCTGTGGGCCGCCACATGGGTGCCGAAGTAAGTGCCAGATATAAGCCATCACTGTCAAAATAGCGTCTTATTTGGCGATTTCGAACATACCAAATATTTCCATTTCACTGATGCGCCAAAGGAGTAGCGAAGTAAATACCAGACTTCAGCCACAGCTGTCAAAATAAATCATAATTTGGGGATTTGAAGCATGCCAAACTTTGATTTTCTCTGGCTCGACACTGGAGTGGCAGATGTGCGCCAAAAGTTTCGAAGGAAACCCAGAGGCCTGTTGAAGTTTGCAGTTTCTCTGGTGTGCCACAGAAGCGCTCATTCTTGCGCTCCAGAATAAAATTAAATTGAATAAGCGTTCGTAACACGATGTTCAGATGTCATTTCCGTTCCTAAGCAGCATGGCGATACTTTGCTATATCGCTGCAAATACCGGCCGAAAATTGATTCCAACGCAGCCCAACTGTCCAGTTTTGAACCACAGCTTGGCATCCAGACGTACCGGCGTGCGGTCGTTTTTCCTCGGACTAGTGTTGGCGCAATATTATGGAAATACCCTACAATGCGTCTGCTCCGCATTGGCCGGACGTCGTGCAAGTCTGTGTTGTATAGGCCGTTGCATATTAGTTGTTCCATATCATTCACATTCCAGAGAGAACGAAATTGTTTTCGATCCCTCTCATACTTTTTTTAAACCACTTTCATTACACACACCTTATTCTCGACACACTTACAATAGTTGTACCTCCTTGTAAGCCGAAAAGCGAAGTATTAAATATAATTACCACTGCTTTCATGCCAAGCAAAACTTGCATTTGGAAACGCGAAAACCGTGGAGATTGAGAGGGAAGCATGACTACTATCAGGTGCATGCCTGCAGTGTACTTACTAATAAAAAAAGGAATGGCATGTAATCCTTGATAGATGCATTATCCGGCTCGGGAAGCGCAGACAAACACGCATGAAATATCTGTGAGATATTTCACC